TTAAATGTGATGCCAAATGACTCGAAAGGGCTATTCCGCTCGAACTGATCTACCTTGATCTCTTGCAAATGTTTATTCCCAGATGCTGTTGTTTTCAAGTAACATTTAATAGGTTCAGATTGTTCAGCTTCATACATGTTGTGAAATTGTACTGTTGACGGCAAGGACCTAACTGTCCCTCAAATAAACAGATTTACTCACTTGATGAGCTCCAGAAACTACAAAAAAAAAGATAGGACATAACAACAATAGGGTATGCGAGATGAGAGTTATACAACAACCTACATTTCCTCATAAATCTGCTTCCAGAAGAGAAGAAATTGAAGTCCAAATGTCTTTTGACAAACAATAAACGACTAACCGCTTTTCAATTAACTCCATATCAACAAGAAAACTTAACGAGAACAAATCAAAAGGATGGTGTTGGAACATTACACTGAAGAAGAACACCCGGAACAGTCGCCGTCAAAGATCATAATGTCAGACTCACTGAACACAACCGACGGAGTACTTAAACGGAATCATAAAAACTAATCAGCTGGTTGAGGTACTCGTCCGTTTTTCTCGAGAACTCATCTTCCATTTCTTTCATCACTTCACTAAGCGCAACTCTAATTCGCCCTTTCAGTGTAGGGTCTTTTTGGATCAGCATTTTCGCCACAAAGTTAAATGTTTCACAGTCACTTTTGAAAGCCTGAAACGTATTATAAAAGTATGGGAGCAGCTGCACTTCAATTTGTAATGGGGGACTGAGGAAGTCCCACCACCAAGTAAATCAAGGAGCCTATGGCTCCTTCCTATACCACCCAGCATGACAAAAGAGAAATCCAATTTTAAAAAAAATCCAGCAAGAAAATGTTTACGCACTCTGCCTACAAGAAGAAATCACACAGCATTTTTCTGCCGGATCCATTTAATCAACCAATGTCTTCTTTATTCCCTTACTGCGAAGATCAAAAAAAGCTTCAAAGGAAAATTCCCAAACCTCACAAAAACTTCTCTCTTCTTTCTCCTCCAGTTACCTTACCAGAAAAAAAACTATCCTGCAAAAGATGGAAAAGAACATTTAATTGATCAAACATACCCCGTCAAACTGCCTTTTCTTAGCTATAAATTTAGACAAAAGCTCTGGTGGTAATCGTTCCAACTTGCCTTCTCGCTCTGACTCCTCCAGTATTTGACGAGTAAACGAACTTAGTCGTAAACCTGAACTCGAAAAGCTTCTTTTCTTCTATTTTAGCAAGTAAAGCAATGCAGAGTGTAAGACTGACAGTTGGTTCCTTCAATATATAACAAAATGCTCACCTGACGGCTGTGCTGTCTCATCTAACTCTTCTAACCGAGATCTTTTTGCTTCCAAAGAGGAATCTTCATGCATAGCTCCCAACTTCTGCAAATTTATAAGTGAACTTGCGAAGAATACTATCTAAAAGAAGAAATGGGAGGAGCTCAATTAAGAGTGACTTCAGAGGGACACAAATGTTTAATCACTTTGCCTTACCATCTAGAATAGAACAGCCACTAATTTGCGAATTAACGTAATAAATAATAAAATATACCATGTGAAGACCAAAGTCATCGAGATATCGAGACGTTGAAGCTTTACTTGTGTTTAACCTTTTTCCTAAAACGACATCTTTCTCGCCCACCACTGAAGGCTCAAGGGGTATACTATTTGTAGCACTTTCCGCTTTACTTCCTTTAAACAATAGTGATTTAGACTGACAGTGTCGAGGAGCTGTCATATAATGGGATGACTAGACGAGGAATATTAAAAAATATTTCCAGTAAGTTTTAATGCAAGAGTTGATACAGAACTAAAAGTAGTTTCAAAATAGGACCACATATCCTCAAAATCCATTACAAATATTGCATACCATTACTTTCTAACGCAGTAGCACTGTTTATTGTCTTGTCAGGATTTCCATATCGTACCTGTTCATAACAAGAAAACTATAATTAAACTCAAAGAATATCTTGCATATAAAGCAAAAACAGAATTTTAAACAAAAATTGCACTAAAGAACTAGTTGCGCAAATACTAAACGTCAAATAAGCTATTTCTTTATTTATCTTGCCGCTTGTAGTGGCAAATAAATAAGTGAATAAATACATAAACAAACTCTAGAAACCAAAAACAAGCGGTGACGAAGGTTCGTAAGCATTAATAAATGCTAGAAATCAATATCATTTCCAAGAATTATTTAATAAAGAGATGTAACAAGAAAAAAGGAACAAACCGGCACATCAATGGCATTTTTGAAAGTTCCAAATTTCGCAAGCGGTTGGCCTCCTGTGCTGTCTTTCACGATCTTTTTTGGTATGTCGTCCTTAAATGATAAAGTCAACATTGTCCAAAAAACATGGCCTAAAGTAATTCCATCTTACGCTGCTCTCTAGTCCGAATTTCAGCGTTGTATTTTGCAAGGTGACTGTCCCAGTACGCGTATCTCCTGCCAGTTGGTTTTCAGCCAGTTTTGTTGCAGAATCATCATCGTACTTCATTTCTCCTAAAGTATAGTTAATTACAAATAAGAACCACAAATCCCTCACGAATTCCAACCTACTAGCAAAACCGCAACCTTCTGCAGCAGTACGTAGAGAACGTTGCCTTTTCTTCAAAATTTTTTTACGAAGTTCTTCCTCAGTCAATTCCTCAGAACTTCGATTTTCATCTGAGCTACAATTTGAAGAAGATGGGGAACGTTTCCGTTTCTTCTTCCTCTCCTTCTTTCCTTTGCGTTGTTTCTTATCAGCAGATGGAGACGTAGACTTGCTCTGGAAATATCACGGCACACTTCAAAATGTGAAAAGAGAAATTTTTAAGTGCCGTCAAAAAAAAGTAAAAAATGAAACAATACAAAATTGAAGGAAATACAGTTCCTTAGTTCTATTGCTAACAAAACATCTCAACCTTTACATCCTGAAGTGTAGCTTGCTTTTCTCCTGCTACGGTTGTTTCTGCGAGTGGAGAAGATGTCAAAGCAACAGCAGAAGCTTTTACAGACGTCTAAAAATAAAAATGGTTCCTTCATAGCCGCTCAAAACCAATCAACACGTTACGTTATTCCAGAAAAGTATAGCTTCAGGGCACAGCAACGGAACGTAAAAACAAACTTTGAAATCAAAATAATGATTTGGAAACCAAGAAAAAGGCAAAAAAATCATCGAATAAATGAATTATTAAAGGGGATTTCCACCAAAAGAGTTAATAAAAATGTCTGGAATAATTATTTTACAAGAATGTTAGAAATAGAAGAATAAGAAGTAATAGCTGTATTAGAAAACTTTGAAAAACATAAATTTAAAAAAACACGAAGATAACTGCTTATTCAAAACTATTGAATAAAATCCTCCAATTTCTGGCGTCTAAACTAAATATTTAAGCACAAAAAAATAAAACAACAGTTATTACCTCGACAGTCTGTTTTGACTGTGTCTGTTGCATTGTTGGTGAGGCCACAGAACGATTATTTGTAGAGGATGGGGACACATTCGAATCATTACGTGACCTTTTTTTACTTTCTTTAGAATGACGACTAGACGCAGAACTGGAACGCTCGGGAGAAGAATTACGCCCCGATCTGCTTGACGGAGAAGAAGAACTAAAGCAAATTTCAAATAGCGGATAATACATCTTTAGAGATTCCCTGCTGCTCGCTAGTGCAGTGGTTTTATACAAAAAGCAGAATTTTTCGTAGCAAGCAACATTCTAAAACCTTTCTGCAAGAAATCACTTTCCTATCGTGACCGAAATTTAAGAAAACAAGTTCGAATTGTCAAGATTATGCTATAGCTCTTCTTCACATTCAACCGTGGTAATTAAAAGCCATTAACTAAAACCTTTTTGTACGTGAACGTCTTTCTCTCGAACTAAATCTTTTTTTTGCGTCATCATCGTCATTTCTAAAATGAAAATAAGAAATTAGAAATATCCTTCACAGCAGAGTTTCATACTACCCTACTATCATATAGCTGCTTCAAAATCTAGTGTAATTATGTGCACAAGAAACCGTAAATGAAGCGGTACTGAACATTTATAACAAAAAAAAAAA